CCTTTCTTCCCACTTGAGGAAGACTTTCCAGCTTAAGGAAGCAGCTGTCTTCTGCCTGGGCAATGATTGTGTCAAAGCTAGGCAACACAGAAGGGTAGGGCAGTTTTGCTTATACAGGCCTGATAAGGGTTATCCAACAGGTGCCCTGTATCTAGATTCCTCTTTGTTAACCTCGGTCATCCTCCTCTACCTTCTTTTCCAGCTCCTTCCTCTGAGTAGCCTTTATGCTCAACAGGCACTGAGTCTGCAAACACTCATTCCCTGCTGCTGTGGCTTACTCATAAGGAGTCTGGAGTTTTCTCTTCAGCATAGCTTCCATATCTTAGATGTCTACACATTAATGTTGATTACAGAGATGGGATCAAGTTATCATAGGCAAGGCAAAAATTGTGGCTCTGTGCCTCTTTACTGTGCCTTTACTTTGCTCCTATGCCTTGTGCTTCCTTCCTCAAAATGACAGGAAACCGCATCACTGATTTCTAGCAACTGTGTATATTTTAACTAGCAAGAGCTCCTTATATACTATTGGTCTTGTATGTTCTTACAAGTCACATTTAACCTTGTGGGAAATAGACTTTTTCCTCCTTGTTAGAATGATGGACCCAAAAAAAGGGGGAAAAAAGAGTATAAAATGTGATAAAAATGCCCTTCAATCTGTTATGGATTAAAAATGATTACTTTTTATTTATTTGAAATGGCATCTACGGAGGATATGGAGAAAAATTGCAGTATAGATTCCAACAAGCGTAATCAGTCACAGAAACTGATGAACTATTCCATCCATTTTTATAGCTTCTATTCATTCATGGTTTATTGATTTTTGATTTAGCTGAGCAATCATTGCTCCCTTATGTTCTTATTTTTTAAAAAAACAAAACAACCCACATTCAGCATAATCCCAAAGATTGGTGGATTAGCTCTGTGTAGAGTTGAGGTAATTAACTTTTATAACATAAGGACAAAAATGCTGTTTGCAAACAGAACAAAACAGAAGTAGCATTAAAAAGAACAGTCCTTCTTCTAGCTACAGTGTAGGAGTACACAGGATTTTCGCCTTTGAATGCAAAACTAAATGCTATTAAAAGCAGTTTTAAATATAGGAGTTATTTATTCTTAGTATAAAAGGATCAGGGAAATCTCACTGAATACTTAACAGAGAAGCTGCAATTGCTTTTCCCCAGCATGAATGAAATTGTGACAAGAGAAATTATTTCCCAAATAGCATTTCACTAAAACTATCTCTAAACTTTTATTAGATGTAGCAAATGGTCAATACCAATAAACTATTGTTTCTTTGATTTTGGGCAATTAATGAAAGTTACAATCCTATGGTTCCTAACAAAAGCTATCCAGGAGCCAAGAATATTATCTCAGTTATCAGTTTTACACATACCTAAGGGTCAATTTCAGAGCTTATTCCTCAAAAAAAGATATCCAAATCTCTCCCCCCCCATCTGGTTTTTCTCACTTAGGTTAGGTAATAAAAAAGGAAACATATTTAAACAAAAGAAAAAAGATAATGCAGGAGAAAGGAAGATGAAAGAGAAACTGAATTTTATCAATATGATCTTCCATGATCCCAACATGAGACCAGAAAGTGTTATAACTCCACCTAATGGAAAGAAGGTGGCAAAAGCTGTCATGAAGTTTGTGAATTCTCATTAATAATGTAGACTGTCTTTCAGAAATCAATCAAATCCAAACAGTTCCACTGTGCCTTGTAATATAGATTGAGCATATATTATGCAGCAGTGGCTTAGTACAAAACTGCTTTATTATACTAATTATTAACATAGTGTTTGATTTTTGCTGTACAGTGTTCAGCACTTCAGATTCAAAGATGAACAAGTGCTTTGGAGGTTGAAAGTCATGAGTGTAGCGCCTGTCTGCAGTTTCGTAAACCAAACCTTTTCTTAGGATTGTGTAGCAACTGAGGACAGCACCTTTACAATCTTGCTTTATGGAGCTGCAGAAAGGGGCTGCATGCACGCCTCCCATGAACTCCAAAACACCTTGTTGCCTTCAAATCCAAAGTACTGCAGAGTTTACTATTAGAAAATCACATGAATCTCTCATACATTTCAAGTCCTTACGGTGAATTAAGGATTTTCTTTGTATAAAATCTGTGGCAATTGTATTTTTTTAAAATCAATTAAAAATAATGTTCTCTAGAACTTCTTTTCAAATTAAACCACAAGGTAATAGTAGAGTATATCATCCAGGCAATGCTGTAAATGTTCTGTAGAGAAGTCAGTCTGAGCAAAAGTTGGTTAAGAGGAATTGTGGTATAAGCAATGCTGTTTAAGTATGTATCAAAGACTTGTTTCCTAGGATTTGATGACTGTTGTTTGATTTCTTCCTCAGAGTTCCTTCTGTGGGTGTATGAGGCTCAGGATTTAGAATTACAGATTGCACAAGTTGATTTGTGCTGTAATAAAGCCAGTTGGCAGGACAGAGTCACCACATTCAAAGCCAAGAATGTGCTAAAACTTTAAAATCTCCTAATATAAGAAAAGAGATGCAGCAATCATGGTATCTGCAGTTCCTTCATTCCCTGGTTCTGCTTTCTCCCCTGTTCTTCTGTTTGCTGTTAATTATTCCTGGAGCCTTGATCAATCCTATGGACCAGTGCACCAATCCAATATGAGAATGGAAATAGATCTGGGATAGAACAAAGGGTGCTCATGTGTGTAACTTCTATCTAACATTCTGATTGCACAGTGCATTAACTTTATACATACAGCCTAACACAATCTGGTGGCATGTATAGGATTCACAGGCAGTCTTCCACCTAAGCACAGACCAAACCCAGGCTACTTTAATTTTGTTATTGTATTGTATAGTTTTAGGGACAGAAACCTTGGCCTTTTTGCCATTTCCGTAATTCCCCCCTACTGTGATGCTGAAATTGGTGGCAGTGTTTCCCATTTGTTAGATAGGCTGTCTGTCTGTCCGTCCATCCATCCACACACACACACCAAAGAATCTCCCTGTACTCCACTCAAACCTGAGGCAAAACACAAAATCCTGTCATATATAAGATTCCATCCCCACTGGAACTGTTCCCCAAATTAAGTGTGGCCACTGGCCAACCCTGGTCTAAAAGATAAATATTACTAACTCTGGTAAGAGCTTGATAGGTGGTCAACTTACTAGGAATGTAAAACTGGGACTGTTACACTGTTAGATTGCAGTGTGTGTGTTTAATGAGATCATATTCCCAATTCCCTACAGTTGTGAAGAATGACTTACACATCTTATGCTTCCTATTTATTTGAGCTGCAGTTCATTGTGATTCCTAGATACACTGTCATCTGAAGACAAAATTGATGTCTATATCAATGCAGACTAGAGACTAGGCTTGTCAAGAGGAGAGATCTGGATTCAAATTCTACTTTAGTCAAATCCAGTTATTATTTTATTCCTTATATTTGTGCACAAAGGGCTAGATTCAAAGCTCCTGTTCAAAGAGCACATAACAGCTCTGGCCAAGACCTTTGCACAGATCCTTCTGGTGCACTGGTCGCACCTGTTCCTTGATTGGGAGGCCCTCCATTCATTCACGCCCTAGTCACCTTACAAGTGGACTACTATAATGCATCCTACATGGGGCTGCCCTTGAAGACCATTTGGAAACCACAGTAATGCAGTAGCATGAAGAGTTATGGACATAGACACCTGGTATATCTGTGTGTTACCACTGCTCCACAAGCTGCAGTGTGTTGCAGCTTGCAAGTTGCCAATAGATTTCTGGTGCAATTCAAGGTGCTAGTTGTTATTATTATACTTTTATCCTGTATGTATGTGTGTGTGTGTGTGTATATATATATATGTGTGTATACACACACACACATTTAGATAAAATAATACATACATATACACACACACATTTCAGCAGATGAATATTTAATAAGACTCAGAGGGACTTCCATTTAAAAGAGGGCCTGCTTTAAACAATTTTTTAAAATCAAAATTGTAGAAACTAATATGAATAGAGATAAAACTCCTTTGTAATCCTCATTCAAATTCTTTGGCATAGGTTAGGTTGCGGGATAAGCATGATGGGTTTTTGGCATTTTAGGCAGCGTTAGAAAACAACATAGATACCTTAAATCTTACAAACTGTGACACCCTCCACAATCAAGCCAGTTTTTCCCATGGGGGGGGAGCTCTCACAAGGCTTAAGACATATATTTTACTTCTTTACCTCTCCCATACAAAAAAGCAGGCCAACGTATTTCAGTTTTAATGTCATCTTGACCTCACCAGCTGAGTTCCATCACCCTCCCAGCACAGCACAGTGTCCCATAAGCAAAAGGAAGTTCTCCAACTCTGATATAGATAGTTCTGCTTAAACATGGTGTGCTTAACTAGTCCAGAAATAACATAATGGTGTCACTCACATTTTCTTTTGTTGATGGAACTCAACATTGCCTAGTTGGAGGAATGATGAATTCTCACTGAGCTGTTCGTTGCTCTTGACACTGGATTTTTTTTTTTTAAAGGCTCACCTATCACTATTAGAAACAATATGTCCCGAACGATCATCCCTTTGATGTGTTTGTTGCTGTTAAAATATATTTTTCTTTTAATTCATTTACCACTGACAAGGTATTTGTGAAAAACCCTCAGAATATCCCAAAACTAATTTGTAATGTTGAAGAGTATGTAAAGTGCTGTAAGTGTAATCTATAGGGAACTACCCTCTGGAACAGAACAGCAGCAATAATGAAATGTCTATGAGGCTAACCCAAACTCAGTGTATCGGTGGTAATCTCTCAGTACTTGCAGAAGGAGGTGGAGATCAAGCCCGGGGCTCCTGTATCTTGCCTTCCACCCCTGCCCTGGCAAAGAAAAGTAATGACACTTGCTTCAAAATTACTGGAATTTTATTTGCCTCAGGCTTATGACTTGCAACCAAAGACATTGTGCAAAGAAAGCAAAGATTAAGTACACTTTGAGGAAAAGTGGCAAACCATAAATGATAACACAAAAGAATCTGATGAAAAAAGCCATTCATTGTACTATATAATTGCAATATTTAACAGCATTTTAAATCCAACTTTTTATAATCAAGGGGAAAAAAGAGGGGAGGGGAGAAAAAGTAAAGTTTACAGTGGACATAAATTCCATGTATACAGTTCAAAAAGCATTTCTTTTTCAAGAGATCATGGAGCATAAACTGAAGCAACAAATGGTATAGAGCAGGGTAGAGGCTAGCTACTGTACATTTAGAAGCTATTAAACAAAACTGTATATATGTAGCACAATGTAAAACAGATACAGAACTAATAAAACTTGGAAAATTGCCTGATGAAAAATAAAATCACCAGTTGCTTTTAATGGCTCCTGGTTAGCAATGCTACAAAAGACTTCTTTTAAATGTTCCTGATGCCAGTTGAGAGCATCTAATCAAATATTGAACCCAGGAATTGTCAAATCATTAGTTAGCTAAATCCAACCCATAGAAATATACTATCCACCCATGTTTTTTCCATCAAAAGGTTTTTTTTGTTTTGTTTTTCCTTTGAGGCCTTTTTGGTCACAGTATGTTACATTTTTTTTTACACCATGAAATATGTTTGTCTGGTACTACCCTAAAGTTAATTTATAGATGATATGAATACAGAAGCACCCCAATGCCTATCTGACCAAGTGAATTCACTGGGTGTAAATTGAGAGAAGAAATTTTGTCTTTAAGAATATTTAACTTTATGGATCACTCGTCATCACTTCCACTTGCTTCTGACTGGTCCTAAATGTAAGAGTACGGGGGGAAAAGTTAGAATATTCTCAAAATAAAAATGAATAAAGAATGGCAATAAAGAAACAAGGTGCAATCTAGAAATAACTGGACATGCAGGTTCTACTGAACTAAATGTGTTTAACTCCTGATTACTTCACAAGGATTTAGTTATGTCCTTAGAACTGTCTCAAGCCAGAGAGCTACAGGAGCAGCTGAAGGTTATGTACATGCCACTATGCCTTTGGTTAAACCAAACACAAACTTATGCTCAGGCTTTCACACGGGGATGTGAAGAAGATTATACCTGGCAGTGTCATGAATTACAAAGTTACTGGATTTCTTCTCTCAAGATAGTTCACTTTTGGGTAATTGATGTAGCTGATCTGCAAGAAGGAATCTTGTTTCTGTTAGTGATTTTGGAAGGGAGGATTCAGAACCACTACAACTGCCTGATTCAGAGCAGGTGCTGTTATTCCATCTCCATCCTTCAAACAGCCTGTCTCATAATGCAGGAGTGGGCTGAACATAAAATGGGACCTCTCGGTAGATCACCAGGTATTTATGGCTCCCTTCATTAACAACAACAAGAAGTCAGCTTCCCTTCCCCTTATAAAACTGAATGCTAACACAGAATCAATTTTGGAGGAAAAGCTAGGAGTAGATTCTTCTGTGACTGGATGTGTGCTCAGTTCTAGAACTGAACATAAATTCCTGGCTTGAGCGTGTATTTAGGGGTTAACCTCATTTCTTAATTCTAAAACATTATATATACAAGTTGGTGCACCTTGGAATTAATTAATTAGATTTAGAAGCTGTATGACTCCAGAACAATTCTGAGTGACTTACACTAGTAAACTGTAATCTAGAAAAGTGTAGTAAAAATATAACCTCCCCACCCACCTCTACTTCTTGCACCAGTGAATTCTTAATACTTAGTTTTGAACTGACTCAGATTAGAGATCTACTTTATGCACATCCAAGGCTTGGTTATACTCCATAGGATTTTTAAAAAAATACTTTAAGATATAATCCCCTGGGTGATTTGTTATCAGCTTGAGAAATACTATCTATTTTGATGTTCAGGACAAGCTGCACATCACTTTTGATCTCAGATATTTTGTCCAAATATTCCATAAATGCATGGAAAGCAGGCTGTAAACTTCACAACTGATTTCTTTTAAAATTTCTGGGTCTTCCCCAAACCCCAGAAAATTATCATGCAAAGTCTGGTAAATGTAAGAAAGATTGCAGTGAATGGTACAGCAGAAAAAAAATATGGAAAAATCAATGATCCAATAGGCAATACTTACATTTTCATCTTGATCCTCATCAGTATCATCATCACTCACAACTGGTTTGGCTTTGACCCGAGCCTGGCGTTTCTTGCCTTTCCCTTTATCCCGGTTTTTGTCATCCTTTTTGTTTAGCTTAATTTTCACTTTCACAGATTTTGCTGGGAAAGCAGAAAAATTGATGAAAATCTAATGCCAAAATTAAGGTTGATATCCCACAAAGCAAACATATACATCCCACTCTATAAGGGATTTCCTCTACATTCCTTTTTCTGACCCATACGTTTACAAAAACCACATCTAAGCCATAAAACTATACTACTTAGTTTGAAATAATCTGAATGGTAACAATTCCCTTTTTACTGTTATTTTATTGGCCCAAATGGAACTTTCTCTATATACTTCTTGAATGGCAAAGACTGTCAGTTTGCCAAAAAGTGATCAAGTTCCCAAAAGACGTATTGCTTGTCCTTGCTTCTGAATGAGAGACTTACATTCTGATTCTGACTCATCGTCTTCATCTTCTTCTTCCTCATTGCTCTCTTCCTCGCTTTCATCTTCTTTGGCAAGCTTCTGCCGTGCGCTTTTGAAGACTGACTGGAGAACAATGGAATCCTCATAGATCTGGAGCATGAAAGCAAATCTGTGTCAGAAATGCAAGCCGTGCTTCATCAAAAATTCACAGCATGGAAGGTTATTTTCTATTCAAACCCACAGAGAGCATGGCTTTTTCTCCCTCTTTACAAGACACAAGTCTTGTTACATGAATTTTACAGGGAACAGCAATGTTAATTTTTTATGCACTAAATGAAGTGAGCTTCCATATTATATTACTTTTCACATTTCCAAACCTATTTTTATGCCTAAATTATTTAACCTTGCAGTACTAATGCTATTAAAGCCTTCAATGGAAAGCTCTAATTAAGATTTAGATTATAGTCTAACTGTATATTCAAAATGAAATAAATGCACTCCTTGGGTGCTAATTATGGTAGAAAAATAAAATGGCTCACATTTGCTAGTAAAAGAATCTTTATGATATAAACTGTAAGTATCTAAAGTGTTCAGCCATAGTTACTATAAGAGATTACAAAGTAGTATCCTAATCCCAATTCTGCTCACCTGCAAATTCTTTCTGCTTATCCATCAAGAGCCTGAACCACTGTTAGGATTTATATCTCTCTAATGATTTCAACATGGTTAATGTTAATTAGTACTTTTCTTGACAACTTTGTTTAAGTATGATATATGTTCTGCCATTTAGTATTAATGTATTAATTAGTATTAATAAAAATAACCTTAATGAAAATCAAGACCATGACACAAGGGGAAAAATTATTTATGCACAAGACTTTTGGAGTTAGAAGGAACAAGCACTCAATCTTACAGTCAGTTCCTGATCTCTCAAAATTTTCCAAGGAATTTTTTATTTTATTTTACTTTATCAGCTCATATCACTATATGACTTGAGCAACTTTGGAAAAAAAACCCTGAGTTTTGATATAAGTAGGTGCATTAGATTACTTTTCCATACAATTGTATTTACAAAAGGTCTGAAACTGAAGGATCTTCCTTCTCAAATGAACTCATACTATTGCAACAGATGATTAATAAGACTACAATAACTCAAATCCATTTCACAGATATGAAGACATTTAACTTGCATTTCAGATTATAACAAATAATAGTTGAAAACTAGCATTTTGTAGGATGTGTTATTGCTCCTAAAACTAGTTTAGGCTTCTTAATACTTTTAGGCTTCCTAGTGCCACAAACATTCATGCTGTAAAGTGCTAAGACTATAGACTATTCATGTAGGAGTGCTATAGTGTCACCGCTGTCAACAGCACTGGGCAATAGTCTTTTTGGAAATTGTAAGATTTATAAGATTTCTCTTTGGAATTCAGCATTATTCCCAAAGAAAAGCAATGACGGGTTCAGAACTAACTATTTCTGAATCTCCCTTTTGCAGTGCATGGTGGGTAGTTGCATATAAAACAGCGTTCCAGGGATTCCCAATCTGGTCACTCCTGAGGTAATTTACTGTTTTCTGAAAACAAATCTTCCAGAACTGTTCATTGTGTTCCAGGTGTTTGAAGAGCTCTTGTAACTCTCCAATCCAGCGTTGTCCCCGCTGCTGGCTGGGGAATTCTGGGAGTTGAAGTCCACTCATCTTAAAGTGGCCAAGTTTGGACAACACTGCTCCAATCACTCAAGAAGTTGAGTTGCAGCCTTAGGCCAAAAAAGATTACCAAACTGACCACTGCAGTTTAAAGAATTAGGGGAACAAATAATTTCCTTCCACACTGATTTTCAGCTAAATGGAAGCAAGAAATAGATGCTTGAATTTTGGGAAACTGTGG